TTTCAATTTTAGATTTTCAGATTTAAGCTCTAGGACTGTGGTGTCAAGTTCATGAACCTGGTTCTTCAACTCAGCATTTTTACTATCACTCTCATTAGCGCTAAGTTTCAGGTTTTTGCACTTAGCTTTCAGAATCACACACTCCTTAGACAGCTGTTCCTTTTCATTGTTTATAACTTCAAATTCATCAATGAAATCTAGAAGTAATTCAGATAGACTTTCTTTAGACAAAAACTTAATCTTGTCTTTGAGATGAATTATACTTACCTCAGATTCCTCATCGGATTTCCCAATTTACATAAGTGCTTGTTCATCTCCATCTTCGTCTTCTGAGTCATCATCTAAGCTTTCACCCCAAGCAGCAACCATAGCCTTTGTTGATCCTTTGTTCTTCTTGGGATGAACCTGTTCCTTCTTCCTGTTCCTTCGTTCAGCTCTTTTCTTCTTCCATTCAATTTCCCATTGAGGGCAATTTTTTATGTGGTGATCAGTCTTCCCACACTTGTAGCACCCCTCATTGGTTTGTTTTTCAGGAACCCTTGGTTTGTTGTAACTTCCATTTCTTGAAGGACCATTTTCTCTTATTAGGTACTTCTTAAAATCCTTTGTGATCACGGTCATTTCATCCTCATCTAGATCAGCACCTTCAGTGATTCTGAATGCCAGGCTCCTTTCCTTCTTAGGTGCATCCATCTTCATGGTTTTCCTTCTAAGTTTCATNGATCATCTACCAAATTGGGGCAGAATTTTGAGGAGGACCCTCAAAATTCTAACATAAGAAAGGTGCAGTGTCTCTGAAATGTGTTACAGTGACTAGTTCATCTAAAAAATACTTGATATTTCGATATGTTTTCTAAATAACTCTATTTTTTTATCAATAGTTGCATATTTTCGAAAACTCTATTTTTCGTAACAGTCAGGTGTTACCCAGGGAAACTCAAATAAGGCCCCCAGAACGGAATAAAGCAAGGCCAGTGGACAAACGCACGAACCAACCTCCCCTCACAAAACTTATAATTTTTCTTTGAGCGCAGGCACATCGGACGCAACGGTAACATCTGCAAAATATATACACGTAACAAGATCACTATCAATCAGGCCACCAGACACTGAACGTATTCCCAGATAAGAAGGTTCTACTCAGAGTTTCGCCCATGAAGGGTTTGATGAGGTTCGGGAAGAAGAGCAAGTTGAGCCCTAGGTATATTGGTACTTTTGAGGTGCTAGAGAGAGTTGGGGAGGTGGCCTACAAACTTGCCTTGCCACCTAGTTTATCGGGAGTTCACCTAGTGTTTTATGTTTCCATGCTCCGGAAGTACTATGGGGATCCGTCACATGTATTGGGCTTCAGTACGGTGCAGTTGGACGAGGCTTTTACTAATGATGTGGAGCCGTGGCCATTTTGAACCGACAGGTTCGAAGGTTGAGGTCAAAGAATATAGCATTGATGAAGTTTCATTGGAGAGGTCAGCTGGTCGAGAAGGCTATGATGTGCCGTAGAATTTCGGCACATTTAATACCAATTACTTAAATTTTTGCTCGTCTTTTAAGGCATTTTTAGTTAATTCTTATCAAGCATGGTTTTTTTGTAGTGCATGAACTTGAAGACCCAAAAAACAAGGAAAAGAAGTCAAAAAGTCACAAAAGGATAGAAATGCTGCAAGTACGCGACCGCATAAGTCACTTGCGGACCGCATAAGTCAAATGGTGACCGCAAACTTAAGTAGAATTGTTGGCCAAATGAAGATAAGAATATGCAGTCCATTATGCGGTAGCTTAACACTTTTACGAGCTGCATAATGACCGCACAATTCCAGCTGAAGAAGCTTCTCAACACGTCTGCGATGGGAAAATGCGGTCTCATAATAGATATGTGGACCGCATAACTTATATGCGATGGAAGCCTGGAATTGGTGATTTACAAGTCTGCGATGAGAATGAAGGTTACGCGGACTGCATAAATGGCCTGCGACCATTATGCGGTCGCAAAATCTGTCTGCAGGGGCAATTTTTTTCTGATTTCGACCACGACTTTTGGTCCACTATAAAAAGAATAACTAGGGATTTTGTGGGGCATTCATGTCTGAAAAGGGTCCTACATTGAGAGCATTGCATACTCCATTAATTTGGAAGCTTGTGAAGAGTGAATCTTGCACTTTTGTAAGTTTTATGACTTTATTTATTGCTTTGGTCTTGTGTTTTAGCATGAGTAGCTAGTTTTAAATACTAAGGTTGTGGACTCTAAATGGGTTTAATGTTAATGGGTGTTTAACATTGAATATATATATATATATATGGTTGGTTGATATTTATTCATTTCTTGTGCTTTATCTATGGTTGGTGGTTGGAAACATTAACCTATTCCATTTTATTCTTTCTTTACATGGAAAAGTGGGTTAGGGTTTGGTAGAAATGAATATCAATATCTCAAGACTTTAAATCTTATTTAATAGAATCACTTAGGAATAAGTGGGTTCTACTTGGCGTAAATTAGTTGTTCTTAAATTACAACTCTTTTATATTTGGAAACATCATAAAGTGAAAATACTACCCAACCATTGGAAAATATTGGATAGTCATTTAGAAACCATTTGCATATCAAAGGACCTTCCATTAGAAATATATCATATTAACATCGATAGCATTATATTTCATTGATGGGATCACAACCTTGGTTTCCTTAATCAAATTATTCACATTCTCATAACAAAATTAGTTATCTTACTAAATCACAATTATATCATTCTCTTGCTAAGCTAAAGGAACAGAATTACGACCTAAGTCAAGTTCCACACTACTCAAGTAATATTTTCAGACATATTCCCTGTGGGATTCGACCCCAACCTTGTTGGGTTATTATATTTGACACCGATTGTCTTACACTATTTAGTTAAAGTGTAATTTGAGCGTATCAAATTTTGGCGCCGTTGCCGGGAAATACGGTTTTGAAATTACTAATTAGTGTGTGCTTTACTTTACGTCTTCTTCTATTCCATAACACTTTGCTTATTTTGCTTGGTGTTGATAGGAAAACATGGACGAATATGAGGACAAAGAAAATCCTTTTGCTTACATAGATGAGTACATTGAGGATACAAATGCTATTGTACTGCCGAGAGTTGACGCTGCCACTTTCAAGGTGGAACACGATTTAATACTCTTGCTCAAAGCAGAGGGGTTTTTCAGAAATTCCACCGATGATGATCCGACACAACATCTCAGAAACTTCTTGGGTATGTGTGCGATGCATAAGCAGAACAACATCTCAGATGATTCCCTAAGATTGAGGGTGTTCAAGTACTCACTGACTGGAGAGGCGAGGAAATGGATTCAAAATCTACCACCCAACTCAATCCATTCTTGGCCTGAACTTGTCCGAGCATTCCTAGCTAAACGGTTCCCGCAAAGCGAGAAATCTAAGCTCCGGGATAAAATTTTCTTTTTCAAGCAACTACCGGGAGAACATCTACATGAGTCATGGGATCGATTCAAGCTATATTTGGTGAGGTCGCCGAATCATGGTTTTCTGGATTCCATCTTGTTGGAGAAATTCTACATGGGGTTGGAAGCTATGAACCAATCTATAGCCAAGAATGCAGCTGATGGATCTTTTACGGATAAAACATTTGCGAGGATCACACAAATCCTTGACAAAATGGCAATACATAACCAACCTTGGCACTCAGAGGACACCGCAGGTGGAATTGCATATGGTACTCCTTCCTTGATCAACATGATTAAGGAGAACCAAGAGAGAGATCAAGTAATCGCCGTACTTGCCACCAACGTTAATGTGTTGACAAAGATGTTCAATGAAAGCCAAACAAAAATGGTGAATATGGTGGAGGATGTTCAACCCACATCAAATGAAGATTATGTGGAAGCAAATTATGTCAACAACTCTCAAGGAGGTATGAAAGGCAACAATACCAAGGTTCAGGACAACAAAACCAATGGAGGCCTAACCCGCAAGGGCAAGGCAACCAACAGTGGCAAAAGGACCCTTATGGAGTAACAACAACAACAACAACTTTTCAAATCGGAGTTCAAACCCTTATGTTCCACCAAAAGGGTTCAAATCAAGGTTCTTCAAGTGATTCTAAGTTGGAAAACATGCTTGAGCGAGTATTTCAAAATCAAGATAGGTCTGACACTTCCATGAGGAATATAACTGAGCTTGTCGGTTCTCATACCGCATCTATTCAAAACTTGAAGATCCAAATGAGAGATCTTTCAAGAGAGCAAAATTCGAAGCAAAAGGCCACACTCCCAAGTGACACAATTGCAAACCCAAAAGGTAGTGGGAGTGGTCTAACGTCTCATTGCATGGCAATTACAACTAGGAGTGGGAAAGTACTTCAAGGAGAGAATGAACAAGTGGTCGAAGTGGAAGATTCTGAACAAGAACTTGAGGTACAAGTTGAAGTGCCAATTGTTGTTGAAGTTAAAATGGTCCCGGAAGAGTTGAAACTTCAAGAAGTGAACCAGGAAGAGGTTAAGGAAAAGGTGAAAGAGACTCCGAAAATTCTAGCACCAATTCCTAGAACTACTCCCCCTTTCCCTCAAAGACTTGCTAGGAGGGTTGATGATAGCAAACTCGAGAAGTTCTATGACATTCTCAAGCAATTATCGGTAAATATTCCATTTGTGGAAGCATTTCAAGAGATGCCGGGTTTTGCTAAGTATTTGAAAGATTTGATCACCAAGAAGAAAACCACCAAAAATGAAGTGGTGAATGTTACTCACCGGGTTAGTTCCATCATTGCAAAAACCACCGTTCAAAAGGAAGAAGACCCGGGATTCCCGCCGGAATTTGTGAACACAAGATACAATTGGAGAAAGAGATCAAACCAAGTGTGGAACATCAAATAAGGTTAATTCCTTCGATGCAAGAGGTGGTAAAGAAAGAAATCATCAAGTGGTTAGATGCCAGGGTAGTCTATCCCATTGCCGATAGTTCTTAGGTGAGTCCAGTGCAATGTGTGCCGAAGAAAGGAGGCATGACTATGATTGAGAATGACAGAAATGAGCTCAGTCCAATGAGAACAGTGACCGGATGGAGAGTTTGCATGGACTACCGGAAGCTAAATAGTGCGACGTGCAAGGACCATTTCCCTATGCCTTTTATCGATCAAATTCTTGATCGGCTAGTAGGAAGGTCATTCTATTGCTTCTTGGATGGATATTTCGGCTATAACCGAATCAATATTGCCTTGGAAGATCAAGAGAAGACGACATTTACATGCCCATATGGGACTTTTTCCTTTAGCCGTATGCCTTTTGGGATATGCAACACTCCGGCTACTTTTCACGGTGCATGATGTCAATCTTCTCGGACATGGTGGAAGATTTCTTAGAGGTTCTTATAGATGACTTCTCTGCAGTGGGTGATTCCTTTGAGCATTGTCTTGACAACCTTAGACAAGTGTTCAAAACCAAAAAAAAGGAAAAAGAAAAAAAAAAGACAAGTGCTCAAAAGATGTGAAGAAACAAACCTTGTACTAAACTGGGAGAAATGCCACTTCATGGTGGACGAGGGTATTGTTCTGGGCCAAAAAATTTCCAAACAAGGCATAGAGGTTGACTGGCCAAAGATTGAGATCATTTCCAAGCTTCCTCCACCTACTTCAGTAAAAGGTGTCCAGAGCTTTTTGGGGCACGCCGGTTTCTATAGGCGTTTTATCAAGGACTTCTCCAAAATTTCAAATGCCATGTGCAAACTCCTTGAAAAAGATGCAAAGTTTATATTTGATGAGAAGTGTCTCAAGGCTTTTGAGGAATTGAAAGACAAGCTCACCACGGCACCTATTATTGTCACACCCGATTGGTCTCTTCCATTCGAACTCATGTGTGACGCTAGTGGTGTAGCTATTGCGGCGGTGCTTGGCCAACGTCATAACAAGATCCTTCACCCTGTCTACTATGCAAGCAAGACACTTAGTGGCGCTCAAATGAAGTACACTGTGACTGAGCAAGAACTTCTCACCATTGTCTATGCTTTTGAAAAGTTTCGGGCTTATTTGTTGGGGTCCAAAGTGATAGTTTACACCGATCATGCTGCTCTTCGTTATCTTATGGCGAAGAAGGATGCCAAACCAAGATTGATTTGGTGGGTCCTTTTGTTGCAAGATTTTGACTTTGAAGTCAAGGATCGGAAAGGGACAGAAAATCAAGTTGCGGATCACCTATCTAGGCTTGAGGAGGCAGGGAGACCAAAAGAAGACCTTGAGATCTATGATGCCTTTCCAGATGAGCACATATGGCATTCTCTAGTACATTCGCTCATTGGTATGCTGACATCGCTAACTTCTTGGTTAGTGATCTTATTCCCGATGGATTAGAGACTTATCAAAAGTAAAAGTTCTTGCGGGAATGTAGGCAATACTATTGGGAGGAACCCTTCTTGTTCTGAATTTGTGCCGATAATATCGTTTGGCGGTGTGTTCCGGAAGATGAGGTAATGCCAATTCCCAAAACATGCCATGATTCTCCGGTTGGGGGTCATCATGGAGGAAATCGGACAGCTGCAAAGGTGCTTGAATGTGGCTACTATTGGCCATCGATCTACCAAGACACAAATCAAATGGTCAAGGCATGTGATCAATGTCAAAGACAAGGGTCAATATCTAAAAGACATGAGATGCCTATGAATTTTGTACTGGAGGTCGAGATCTTTGATGTGTGGGGGATAGACTTTATGGGCCCTTTTGTGAGTTCCTATGGCATGACCTACATCTTTGTGGTGGTGGACTACGTCTCCAAATGGGTCGAGGCAATCGCCTTGCCCAACAATGAAGCAAGGAGTGTAACCGCATTCCTGAAGAAGAACATATTCATGCGGTTTGATACCCCAAAGGCCATCTTGAGTGATGGTGGTTCTCATTTCTACAACAAGGCTTTCACCGGGCTGCTTGAAAAGTATGGTGTAAAGCACAAGGTGGCCACACCCTATCATCCTCAGTCCAGTGGTCAAGTTGAAGTTTCTAACAGGGAAATCAAGAACATCCTATGAAAAACTGTCAATGAAAACAGGACCGACTGGTCAAGGAAGCTAGATGATGCGTTGTGGGCATATCGCAAGCATTTAAGACTCCCATTGGCACTTCACCGTACCGGTTGGTTTTTGGAAAAGCATGTCACTTACAAGTGGAGCTTGCACACAAAGCCATGTGGGCATTGAAGAAGTTGAATCTTGACTGGGCCGAGGCTGCTAATCTAAGAATGACACAACTCAATCAGATGGAGGAATTCTGTCTCCACGTCTATGAGAGTGCAGCCATATACAAGGAGAGGATGAAGTTTGTCCATGATAAGAAGATCTTGAAGCGGGAGTTCAGTTCCAGTGACTTGGTCTTACTCTTCAATTCAAGACTCAAGTTGTTTCCGGGAAAACTAAAGTCCAAATGGTCTGGCCCGTTCAAAGTTGTGAGTGTGTCCCCCTATGGTGCTATTGAACTGGAGTCGGAGGATGGGACTCGAACTTTCAAAGTGAATGGTCAGCGAGTCAAGCATTACCTCGGTACCAGAGGAGAAAGGCATTTGATAGAACAATTTGCTCCAAAGGATAGTCTAACAGCAGTCCCCACTAATGAATAGCCCAAAAAAGGGGTCAACTGCGTCGTGTTGCGACGCTAAATCAAGCTCTTCATGGGAGGCAACCCATGTGTGGTAACACTCTTTTGTAGTTGTTTGTCATTTATGTAGTTTAGATTGAGCAAGCTGACGTGTGTGTTGGAGTGCAGGTAGTGCCAAAATATCATGAACAAGCTCCTAGTGCTGAGGAAACTGAAGGAAAGAAAGGTCCAGAATTGGCGACAATTATGCGGTCGCATAATGACTATGCGAACCGCATAGTCATCGCAGAACTAGGTAGAAAAATTGGTTAACTTGGTGTTCAAAAATGCGGTTAGCTTTTCAACTATGTGGCCCGCATAACAACTTTGCGATCGCATAATGCATCGCAAAGTTAGCTTAGGTTGCCCAGTCATCAGTCCATCGCACAACACATATGCGATCGCATAATGCGTTCTGCGATGGACTTAAGCGCCGCAAACTTGACAGGTACAAAACCCTAACCTTCCGCATTTTCATCCTCATTCTGCTCACACACTAACACTTAAACAAAATCAAAAGAACAAAAAAATTACAAGCAAAGAAACAAAAGAGAAAAGATCAAAAAAGAAAAATTACTCACCGAGCAAGGAATCCCAATCACACGAAGCATTTCGGGCTTGCATAATCTCGCCCAACTTCTGGTATGGGTTTCTTCTCCCTCTCGTAATTGTGATTCATGCCTCTTCCTTAATTATGAACTCCATGGTCATGGTGAGGATTTGGTTGAGTGAATGTGTGGGTTATTGTTGATGAAACAAAATGGGGGGAAGTTTGAGTACCCCTTTCCTCTTAAATTGATTGATTGGCCTATGACCAAAATAAGGGAAGTCTGAGTACCCCTCTTATCTTGAGTGGACTAATTGGCCTATAGAAAAAGTGAAGAATCTAAGTAGATAGTATTAGGAAAGCATGTGAGTGTGATGTGCATATGGTGTGAAGAACATGTGAGTGGGGTGTGCATATTGAAGGGGGGGCACTGTTTCAATGAAGAAGACAATCTTTGCGAGCCGCATAATTCGTTTGCGGTCCGCAAAGTTGTCGCAAAAGACCCCTAGGTAGTTCCTGCAAAAAGGGTTATGCGACCGTCTTTGCGATTGCAAACCACTTATGCGGTCCGCATACGTGCCGCAAAGTGAGGAAGACTATTAGCCTTTCTGGTGAAAAGAAATGCGACCACTTTGCGGTCGCATAACTAAACTTTGCGATCGCATAATCATTTTTGCCTTTCATGTTTTGCACATCTGCGATGGGTTTGCAGACCGCATAGTAGATATGCGATCGCATAACCCATCGTATAAGCTATTGCCTTCTTTCCTTTGTCTCCAATGTAATTTATATGCTATTTCACCCACTCACACAATTTTCATCAACAAGAATGGCACCAAAGAACTCTTATCCAACGCGACCACTGCCCGCTCGTGGAAAGAAACGGGTTTCCACTCCGAGCCAACAAGCACAACAAGCCAAATGTCAACGAGCTCAAGCAATTCGTGTTACTTCTGAGCACACCTCCCAGTCTGAAGAGGAGGAGTCACAGAGTGACCTCAGGCCATCTGTTGACTTACAGGCTGAGGCACGATGGAAGATGAGGGAGGATCTAAATCTTCGGTTTGGAGTCACTGGCTCTATAAATCTTTATAAAGAAGGGCTAGCAAAGAGAAATATTCTCGAGGAGAAGCAATTGAGCTTAAACGGGCTGAAGGAGCACTACCCTCATATAATCGAGAACATCAAGCAGAGGAAATGGGAATTAATCACTAAGGTCCCCGGTGAATATAATGAGACACTTGTGAGGGAATTCTATGCTTTGTATGGTGCATCAAGGACTGCTGAGCATAAGAGAAACAGGATATTTGCACAAACTGTCCTAGTTTAAGGGGTCAAAGTGCTTTGTGATGACGCAACCATTAATGACCTGTACTTTGAGGAGTGGAGTTCAGGCACAGCTGAGTATGAGTCTAAGGTAGCTAACAAGAATAACGAGCGTGCCTGGGTTGCCTCTGTCATAGCAAAGGGGACACCAGCCTGGATTGACCCCAAACACAAGATTTACAAGGAGGATCTCACACGAGAGGGTCGATATTGGCTCAGCTTTGTCACATCCCGTCTGATTCCGTCTAGGAATGAAACTGACATCAACATCGAGAAGTCACTCCTCTTTGCGTGCATCATGACAGGCATAAAGATTGATATGGGAGAGATAATATTTAGGGAGCTGGGAATCAGAGCAAACCAGAAACAAACATCACTTCCCTTGCCATGTTTGATCACTGCTCTCTGCAAAGCTGTAAATGTGCCTCCTATGCCAAAGCATGAAAAACTTGAGAAAGCTCTCAAGGATATTGACATCATGCGGATCAGTGACGCAGCAGACAAGGAAGCTGCAAATCAACCGGAGACTCAAATTCCTCCTCCAGCAGACTCAGTAGCATCAGAGGTCCCCGCACTGCCTAACACCTCTCAGGCCACAGCTACTCCAAAGCATACCACTGCACAGCCCCAGGTCCCCTTACCAGCTCTTTCCAAGCTAGGTCTACTAGCTCAGCACGCCAATGCTAAGGTAGACCGGCTGATAAAGGAAATCCCAAACCTCATCCGGCAAGCATTGATCCCTATCCAATCCTCAGTGAGTGTTCTTCAACAGCAACATAAAACTTATGAGGATCGCCTAAAGCACTTTGAAGTGCGTCTTGAGAAGGTCGAGTGG